GAACATAGTTGTGTTAAAGAAGAAAACATTGGGTCCGAAGGCCAGGGTTCCAGCTCTGACACTAGCTGGGCAAATCTGTTCAATAAAAATCTGCAAACTGTGATTGTAATACTTGCCTTACATCACATTATAAAATATAAGGAACTACATATATGTGAGAAAAGAAGGAAAGGGAAAGGAGGAAAGGGAAGGGAAAGGAGAAAGAGAAGGATAAGAAGGTCACAAGGGTCCTACTTTGCTATTCCATTGTAGCATTCACCTGACCAATACAGGCTAAGGAAGTGAAGGACAAACTCTGGCAAGACTTGAAATACAGGTCAGATGCCGGACTATACATCTGTCAGAGAGACAGTTTAGCCGAAGTTGGAGAGATTCATCATCAGACTGGCTACAAGGTAAGGGGTTGTGTTCCTCCTTCCCCCACCCCCAGATCTAGCCATAGCCTGATAGAGAAAATGGCCAGCCTTGGAGTTAGGGGGATCTAGGTTCTAGATCTGCTTGTAATATACAGTAGTTATGTGATGATAGACAAGTTAATGAACTTGTCCATTGGGAGGAGGAAGTTTTAATACTGGGGATTCCTTACATTGAAAAGAACCCCAGATATGTCTCTCTACCCTTCACCCATACATTCCTTAACAACAAAAAAGAAAAAGAAAAAGAAAAAAGAAAAAAAGGGAACTCATTAAAACACCTACTGAGATAGAGAAGAGTTGCTATTGGCATTAGTGGAGGGAATGCCCACAAAGAAGAATTCATGGATTCTTGGAGTATTAGTTGTAGTAATAGTAATTATTATTACTAATAATGATAAAACAGCCTTGAAATAATAACCTTTGCTTTCTGAATGATCTCAACTTGCATATAGTAGTTTTACAAAGAGGCGACTTAAGTAATTAACATCCTATTTTGTGTTTTATTCATCCCCTTCTCTACATGTTGCTCCCTGTGACCAACTTTTAACTCTTTTCCTTTTTTTTAACTCTTTTCATGCTAAGCAAAAGAAGTCTCATGTTGTAATGCCAAGAATAAATGTGTCTTGTATCTCCTCCTCCCCGTATAACTTAGAACTGGAGTGGAGAAAAAAAGAGGGTTGTTTTAGATCAATTATAACAATAGGTAATTCTTATAGAAACTGTGCTATGAGCTGCCAATGCCCTCCTGAAAAACTGAATTTGACAACATCTCTCTGAGAAATGTCAGTAGCTTGGATGAGCTCTTCACAAGAAATCAACCCTGAGGGAAAGTGTATAACTTGGCATTCAAGAACTCCTATAACTAATGAATGAGAAGAATGACATTTACCTTTTTTGGAACCTATTCTATTTATTTAATGAAATCTTCACAACTACCCCTGACACTTGCCTCTCCATATTAGTTGCTTAATCTTCTCCTGGCCCCAAGTATAGCATTATAGAACCACAGATGGTCATTTAACCTCAACCCTCCCATTTAATAGATAAGGAAACTGGAGCCCAGAGAGATTTAATGACTTACCTTAAGATTGTATAAGGAGTACAAAAGCTAGAATTTTGATCTCAGTCCTCTGACTCCCAATTTCCTTTACACCATACTAATGGGATGTATTTCAATAATTTGCTTTTCAATCGTTGGGACACCTTTCAGTATCTTCAGTTCTTATTCTTTATCTGAGATTCTAGGTTTTCCAAGGGTAAACACCTTGTTGACTCTGATCATAGATTTAGAGCCAGAAGGGATCTTTGTGATCTAACTCAAACTGAGCCTGAAGAGGTAAAAAGACTTGTCCATAGCTCTGATTCCAAAGCCACTCTCATTTCTGTCACACTACCCATTCGCTAAACACATTCTGTCTAGCACCCAGGATGGCAATTTATGCAAATAAGCATTTGAGTTGTCTTTTGAAAATGATGATAACATGTTTACTTCAATATTTTAAGGTTATATAATTTCACCATTAACGGAAATTTCTCCCCTGACACAGATTGCAATCCCCGAGGATTTAATGATCTTTGAGAGGTGCAATTGCCAAAAAAAAAAAAAAATCATCACCTTTCAGTTAACCTAGTGAAGGGACTCTCTGACCTTAGCTAGGGCTGGTCCTCAGAAATAAGTTCTATTGCCTGCTCTACATTGGAAACCTTTCCAGCTTAGTAAGACCTGCCAAAGCTTTGGTGGCAAAGTAGATAAGAATGTGGAATCTAAGGTGAAGAAGACCTGAGTTTGAATCCTGCCTCAGGATTATGGAATACGCCTTATTAGGCATATCACCCAGGGGAAATCACTAACTGCCCTCTTTTAGCCTCTAATTCTTCATCTGTAAAATGTTAATAATCATGCCCGCCTTGCAGAGTTGTCATGAGGCTGAAATGAGATATTTGTTAAGTACTTTGCAAACTTGAACGCATTATATTAAAAGTGGCTATTACTCAGGAGACTCTGAACTTAACTCAGTCTAATCCCCAAATAGCAGTCACATCACCTGGCCTCCACTGGAAGCCTTTCAAGGGCTGTGGCGTACTGGCACTGGTATGCCCTTCAAGAACCTTTACAGAATGATGAGACCTCAGAGTAGGACTTTTGTGGAAGAAGTCATGTGATGTTTATGATCCCTCTTTATTATTTCGTTTTGCCATCTACAATATGGAGATTAGATTATAGAGATAACTTAAAAAAATAAGGCAGTAGCATATTTTAGAATTTATTCTATGAAAGGGGAAAAAGGCATTTAGATTGCAGTCCAAGGTAAACAATTTCCCAAATTTAATGTTTCAGTCCTTGTAACACAGTGCCTTGAATACTGTAGGCACTTGGGTGGGCACTTCAAATTCCATTAAACTGAATTAAAGCAAAGAAAGAAAAACTCAGTTCCATTCGGATATGATTTTAGCAAAAACGTATACAAAAAAACCCATAAAAATCCACATCAATTGAGCATTTCCAAAATAAGGAGAATCTACTGTAAGAGAATCATTTCTCTGATCTTACCAAATACAGATGCTATAGGTAGAAATATAAGGAAATATATATATTTATATAAATATATATCATTTATATAAATGTATGTCTATGTCATATAGATTATATGGTTCTACATAAATATGTTATTTATATAAATATATATTATACATGACTGCTAGGTGGCTCAGTAGATAGAGTGATGGATCTGGTGCCAAGAAGATCTGAGCTAAAATCCTGCCTCAGACACTATCTGTGTGACTCTGAGCAAGTCACTTAACCTCTGTCTGCCTCACTTTCCTCTTCTGTAGAATGAGGATAAAAATAACATTTGCCTCCCAGGGTGGTTGTGAGGATAAAATGAGGTAATATTTCTTAAGTGCTCTGCAAACTTTAAAGAACTACATAAATGCTAGCTATTATTATTATTATTACTATTGCTATTAAGAGGTTTGTATCCTTTATCTTGACTTACATTTTTTTCAATATTACTGGAAAAGGAAAAGTGTGTCAAGAGATTTCATCCAGTGATTGCAACATAATAATTAAATTTCTTGGCATTGTCAGAAATCTGCAGTAACATGGTTATGTCTGTTATTCCACCATACTGAATAAAAAGTAAAATAAAACCATGTGTAAACTGAGAAAACTCAGTCTCCCAGAATTAAATGGTATGTCCTTATTAAATATATCCTTAGATACAATGAAATGCCATCAGTTACGTCTGAATGCCTGTGACACGTACTTGAAAAAATAACATTTTAAATTATTAAGGCATGACATTTCAGGTACAGGGAGGTTCTCTGTGTAGTGTCATCATTTCTGTAAATAAGTTAAACAGTCACATGTGAAGAGACTTAGATTTATTACTTGGTTTTGCAGACACACAAAACCCTTCAGTGTTCACACTTTAAATTCAAGACAACCTTTACTGGCTAGCAAAAGAGCATGCCACCTTTGAGGCAAAATGAGCCAGAGCAAATGCTGTGGGGAAAAGACATCTAGGAATAACTGGAGCTTTCTGGACTGGACACATCTTCTTTTCTGATGTCCTGGGCCACTCTGCTGGCAAGCCTGAGGACTAGTGGCATTACCACTTTTAGTATTTCCCCTAATAAACATCTAAATAATAAGTTACAACCTCTTTCTATGATCCTGCTGACTGCAGCAGTGTGCAGCCCATAAAATGTCCTTACAGACCAGAAATTCGCTGAGAAAATCAGTGTCGTGAAGGGATTGTACATGCCACCTTGACAGGCTTACTCAGAAGTGGAAATTGAGCCCCGAGTTTTAGTGTCGATGGTCTGGTTAGAATGTTTCAAGAGCCTAAATTTAGAAATATTTAAATATTCTTTTGCTAGTAACATGTATAAACAAAATACCAACACTGAAATCAGTTCAATTTAGCAAGAAGACAAAGGGGGAGTGTCCTTTCAAGTCCCGCAAACCCTCTTCCAAACTCCATCCAAACAAATGTGCACATGACCTATTTTTGGTATTTCATGCCTAGAATTCTCTTAACCTTCCCTTTGACAGGTATATAGGCAGAACTCATCCAAGTACCCATTTTCCCTCAGGAAAATACAAGTTTCAGGACAACCTGAGGCTGTTAATTCCCAAACTAGTAATGAGATAGTGAAAAGAAAAACACACACACATACACATGCACACACACGCACGCACACACACAAACACACACACCAACTTTCTTCTTTAATAGGATTAAAATGTCCCTCTAATTTGGATTGCTCTTTATGTATGGTTGCCTAAAACCAGACTTTAACAGTTCATTAACATCTGCTAAACTTAATGAAAGAAGACTGTTCTTTGATTTTAGCATGACAATAAAAAAGTCACTGGTAGAAGAGCATATTAGTGCAGAATTAGAAGCAAAATCAGAGTTTAAAATAAGTTCCTCTCAAACCTGGATTTCATCTGCTCTGCATAGCAATTTCCTTATATAATACAGCAGAGCAGATTGTCTCAACACTTGAAAACGAAGGTATTCCAACAAGTCATATTAAAAACAGAAGGAAAAAAATAACATGGTTAGAGCTACTTGCCTTTTGGCAATTTCTGTGCATTTCCCAGGGTTAGGGCAATATTTCCACAAAGAAGTAGAAAGACCAAGCTGGAGATCATGGTTACAAACCCAAAGTCACAGTGTGAGTGATGCTGGTGGGTATCATACAGCCTACTGGAGCTGCATTTAAGTGAACTGCTCTCCCAGTGACAGGCTGCAAAAGTTAGGCACGAGCTTACTTCACAGGGGGAGGAGACAGAATGACATCACAGCCTTCCACTTAAAAAAAAATTAGGCACAACAGCATAAAAAATTATCAACATCACACCCCCCCCTGGTGTATAACTTTCTAGCCTCTGCTATTATTGACTGTCTGTCTCTTGCTGTCTCTCAGGAATACAAAGTTGAACTAGTGATCAGTTTACTCTAAATCAAGAGGGAGAAAAGATCCTGAGTAGTTTTCAAAATGTCACTAAATGTTTTTGAAATCCAGAGGAGGAGAAGAAAAAAAGAAATCTGAATTTTTATGGGAAAAAAAAAGTGAAACTCCACTAGTTGGAAGATTGCCATCCTAAAAATGTCTGTTTTTAATTGCCTACTAAATTAAGTCAATTTTCATTGTGAGTCTAAATGGGAGAGAATTCTGCTCCCTTCCAGCACCTATGTTATGTGAATCATTTAAAGAACAGAAATGGCTTATCAGCAAGAAGGTCTGGAACTTTAATATTAGAAGGAGGCCTGTCAATTGACACAATAATTTTATTATAATTTACTATTATCTCTCCTATCTCTGCAAATACATTTTAAATACAAATCATTTCAAATAGATGAAATCATTTAATTTGAAACAATTATTTTCACGTTAGTATATCTATTTTCTTTGCATTATGGATTAAAGAAAATATATCGCACCAATTGGCATAGGTTGATCCTTCAAGGTATTCTCAAATTTCCATCCTTCTTCTATACCCACTCTTTTTAGAAGGGGGAAAGGGACTAGGCATGGGGAGAGAAGCACCAGACCTGGGGTTTCCTAGGTGGGAGGATTGTGCATCTCCCAGGGCGTGAGAGACAACGAGATTTGCCAATGTTCACACAGTTAGCATGGGTCAGAGTCAGGACATGAACCCAGATCTACCTGGTTCCAAGGCTACCCTCATACCTACTTTCCCAGACTTCCTCTCAGAGAAACTTTAAAGCCTTTAAAATATTCAGGTGATGAATCCTTATACTTACTCTTTCAAAGCATTGTTATTTTTTAGAAGGGTTTCTATATAAAAAAAGAAAAGACTGAGATTATGTATAATAAGGGCTTAGTGGGAATAAAAATGATCAGAGGAATACCTAGTCTCCCACTCCAAATAAGAGTGCTAATAGCTTGCAGTCTCCAAAAGAAAGTTTTGAAAGATGCATTACTAGAGTCATTTAAAACCAGACTGTCCTAAGCACTCACAACAGGAATGCTCTGGCACTGAGTCCGGAATGGACATGATTATTTAACAGGTCTTTTTCATCTCTAACTTTTTTTTTTTAACTTGATGAAGAGGCAGGGCTGTCAGACTCCCAAGCTTGGTCCTTCATCCAGCTGGCTGACTTTATGGGGATTCTAAATGCCATTGCCTCCAGGCTCAGATGCTGAAGCCTCTGTGGTACATTGGAAATTTTTTGAGACAGCCTAGAATCCAGCTGAAATAGTCACAAGGAGCCTGCTTTTAAAAAAACAGGGAGAAGGGAGGGTACTAGGATAAGAAAAAGATATTCAAGAAACTGTTACTGCTCCATCACTATGCTAAATAAAGACTGGATTAGTAATCATCTTGATTTCTGACTGACTGAATAGCTCCTCCTCTGTGTATAAACACATCACATACATGTATTTGTACACATATGTGTATATACATCTATATGCATGTATTGATACATGTGTGTACAGATCCACATCCACATATACATATAAAATTTGCAGCTAAGTTACTGAGGCAAAGAGCTGCTAAGCAGCTTACCTGGATAAGTGGCAGAGTGGACAAAATGGTGAAGAACTGAGTTCAAATCCTGACACAAATACCAGCTGTGTAAGTTTGGGCAAGTTAGTTAACTTCTCTAAGTCTCATTTGTAAAATGGCAATAATAATAGCACTTATTTCATAGGATGGTTGTGAGAATCAAATGAGATGTAACATATAAAGCTATTTTATAAATCTTAGAGCACGATATAAATGCTAGTTATTATCATTATTGTTAAATAAAGTTCACTAGTCATATAAAAGCTCTGACTTCCTCAGAAGTATTGTAAGGGATTTAGATAATTTGTATCACTTGCAAGATTTTAACTTTCAATGAAAAGAGAATTTTCTGTTAGACAAAAGTAAAAGCCAAAGAGAATGCACATGAAAGAATATGTGATTGAATCCTTTATTTGGAGAAAATACTGGTGGCAAGGACTTAGAAAATAATTTTGACTTGAACTTTTCTACTCATAAAGTTAGAAAAAATGATAATTCAACAAGCATTTATTTTTAAAAATTTTATTTTTTCCAATTACATCTAAAAACAATTTTAACAGGTTTTTTTTAGAATTTTGAGTTCTCTTCATCCCTTCGTTCCCTCCCCCCCCCACATTGAAAAGACAATCATTTTGATATAGGTTATACATGTGCAGTCATGCAAAACATATTTCCTTATTAGTCGTGTTGTGAAAGAGAACACCCCCTCCAAAAAAAAGAAAAAAAAAGTTTAAAAAATTATGCTTCAATATTCATTCGGACTCTATCAGTTCTTTCTCTGGCAGCAAATTTTCAGCTTAAGTCCTTCAGAATTATATTGGATCATTGCTGAGAGTAGCTAAACATTTCACAGTTGATCATTGTACAATATTGCTATTACTGTATACAATGTTCCCTTGGTTCTGCTCACTTCACTTTGCATCAGTTCAAGTAAGTCTTTCCAGGGTTTTTTTTTTTTAAAGCACCCTGCTTGTCTTTTTTTATAGCACAATAGTATTCCATTACAATCATACACCACTACTTGTTTAGCCATTCCTTAATTGATGAGCAGGCCCTCAATTTCTATTTCTTTACCACTACATGAAGAGCTGTTGTAAATATTTTTGTACATATAGGTCCTTCTCTCCCTTTCTCTCTCTCTCTCTGATATACACCTAGTAGTAGCATTGCTGGGTCAAAAGATATGCAGTTTTATACCCCTTTGGTCATAATTTCAAATTCTCTACAAATGCTTGGCTCAGTTCATAATTCAACCAATGATGAATTAGTATCTCAATTTTCCCATATCCTCTCTAATGTTTGCCATTTTCCTTTTCTGTCATACGAACCAATCTGATAGGTGTGAGGTGGTACCTCAGAACTGTTTTAATTTTCATTTCCCTAATCAACAGTGATTTAGAGCATTTTAAAAATATGACTATAGATAGCTTTGATTTCTTCTTCTGAAAACTGCCTTTTCATACCCTTTGACTATTTATCAATTAGGAATGACTTGCATTTTTAGAAATTTGACTCAGTTTTCTCTATGTTTAAGAAATGAGGCCTTTCTCAGAAAAACTTGCTATAAAATTTTTCCCTCAGTTTTCTGCTTTCCTTCTAATCTTGTCTGCAGTGCTTTTGTTTGTACAAAAACTTTTTAAAGTAATTGAAATTATCCATTTTACATCCTGTAATGCTCTCTATCTCTTTTTTGGTCATAAATCTTCCTTATCCATATAGATCTGACAGGTAAACTACTCCGTACTCCCCTAATTTGATTATGGTATCACCTTTCATGTGTAAATATATCCATTTTGATCTTATTTTGGTATATGATTGTTGTTGTTGTTGTTCATTCTTCGTTCCCAAAGAGGACCAATGACATCATGAGGGCAATGTCTTGACTTGCACATGAATTGGGTTTAAGGGAGGCAGAGCTGCACAGTCATCAGCTTCACCCTCTCCTCCAGAGTCATTGAAGTCCAGTGGCAACTCAAAAGTCAAGATGACTGCAAATGGCCCAGGATGCAATGGGTGACCTTAGCCTTTCTCAGAATATGGTATGAGACGTTGGTTTATACCTAGTTTCTGCCATACTACGTTCCAGATTTACCAGCAGTTTTTGTCAAATGGTGAGAGTTCTTGTCCCAAAAGCTTGGATATTTGGGTTTATCAAACACTGGATTTTTATGGTCATTTACTAGTGTGCATTATGTACCTCATCTATTCCATTGATCCATCACTGTCTTTCTTAGTGCCAGATTGTTTTGATGATTACCGTATTGTAATGCGATTTGAGATCTGGTATGACCAGGCCACCTTCCTTCACATCTTTTTTTTATTGATTCCCTTGATATTCTTGACCTTTTGTTCTTCCAGATGACTTTTGTTATCAGCAAGCACTTACTAAGTATTCACTATGTTTGTGCAAGAGAAGCAGCATTGTAGAGTGGATAGAGTCAGCCTTGGGATCAAGAAAAGCTGGATTCATGCTCTACCACTACCAATGAACACCTCAGGACCCCAGGGAATTCTCTAAGATTCGCTATTAACATGTTATTGATCTGGATTAGGAGAGGCAGTTTCAGTACCTGATGTTCTACAAATCAATGAAATCACAGATTTGGATGAAAATGCACATATAAGAAACTCTGCTAGACACTGGGGAGAAGATAAAAAGGACATAGACCCTGTTCTCATGAACCTATAATCTAATGAGGGATGGGGGGAGTAGAAAGCTAAGTGAATGAATGAATGACACATCATTTAGTAGTCACTCACTATACGCAGAGTATTGGGAATACAAAGAGAAAAGCAAAACTGCCCCTGTTTTCAAGGAGCTCACAATTCTAATGGGGAGGAAACAACACATAAGAGGTTTTAACTGAAAATCAGATGGAAAGATTCTAATGTCCTTTCAGTACAGTAACAAAGTAAATGATGATGAATTTTCCTTAATGTCATTCATACTAATAAAATATTAGACATAGTTGATATAGAACCATTTGACGGTGTCAAGGACTTGAGTGGTGAGAGCTTTCTTTTCTGGGTCTTCAGTAACAGAAGATATGTTGACAGATATGACATGGGCAGGTAGGTGGTGTAGTGGATAAAGCACCGGGTCTAGAGTCAGTAAGACTCATCTTCTTTAGTTCAAATCTGGCTTCAGATCCTTACTACTTATGTAGCCCTGGGCAAGTCGCTTAACCCTG